TTTTTTTTTTTTTCTTTGGCAGTGTTTCTCATAGCCTAGTATCCTCAAGCATGAATGACCGATCTGTAGATGAGAATACGCCATTGATTCTTGACGAGTTTAGTACTCGTCAGAGTAAGTCTACATCATTACTTTCTTCAAAGAGTGTGGGTCATAAATATCAAGTATATGATGCGGCGCACCAGTTTCTTCGCTCTGTTTTTAATGTCGGTGGATTAACAATTTGTGTTGTTGAGGCAACTGTGATAACTCAGTCCCGATTGAGTCGGTGTTTCCCAAGGCAGTTTCCATCCAAGAAACGATGTGATGCCGCTGTTGCCTTAATGCGGGAAGGTGGTGTACACGTTGTTGCGGATATTGATGGTATGGCTGGGTTGTATTTACTCCGTGTTATCACTGGTAGTACTTCATGTACATCAGGATCTATCCTAGCCAATGGTGTTCCTGTTGAAGCTGGTGTTTTTCGCAAGGCGGTTGGTGTTATTAGCGATGAAGGTACTCCTTTACCAAATTTAACAGTTGAGGAAAACATTAATTTTGTCGTTTCTATGAGGACAAGAATAACTGGTAACTCACGAAATCTTTTAGTAAAAGCAGCCTGCGTTCTTACCGAGCTTGATCACCGTAAGACTACAAATTCATTGTCACCTTCAGAAGATTTTCGACTTCGTCTTGCCATGGAAATAGTAAGAGATCCTCCCGTTATTGTCGCATATTACCCTTTTGATAATCTTAGTCTTTCTGATGCTGCAGAGTGCAGTGCTATTCTAAAGAGAATATCAACCATACTAGAAAAAACAATCATTATTTCATCTAAGACACTTGCAACATATTTATTTGAAATAACAGATACCGTATTGCTTTTTGGACTTAATGGACAGGTACTTTACTCTGGTGAGACTACTTTGATGGCCTTATATTATAAAAGTCTTCATGCTTCCATTACTTCATATTTTTCTGGTTTTGACCATTTACGGGATGACCTTAATATAAGGTCTGAAAGTTTTTCACCTTGTAATCAATTACCTGATGTAACTGTCTCAGGAGGAGACCATAAAAACAGGGAAGATGAACCAAGTAGTATATCCATGCGTTCTTCTTATGCTCGAGAGACAATTAATGAAACGATTGAAAATGTTGATTTTTGTGGAGATGATGCTCTTAGTCTTGCTATATTATGGGGTGAAAATGAAGTTGATACTTATTTTTACGCTTCTAAGTATTATGAATCATCTTTGCGTAAGGAAATGCTTCGGTCAATAGCGGGATATTCTTTCCCACCCCAGGACGATTATGGTGTGACTCCTTTTACAGGTACTGCAGTTCCTCAATATTCAATGTTAAAACCTTTTCTTCTTTGGTGGTATGATGCTTTACAAACACGAAGAGAACCGGGAGGTGTAATTTATTTTTGTTTCTTATTGATTGGGTTACTTGTGATAACCCTGTTAGTGCATCGTCAACCCGATGATCAAGGAGGTATGTACAATATCAGAGGTATTCAATTTGTTCTCTTTCTATTGACTATAATAGCAAATATTGTGGTCATGGATGATGTAGATCGTCAGTTACGACTTTTTTTTTATCAACGCAACAGTGGACTTTACAATACATTTTGTTTTATGTTCGTTTTTGTCATACGTACGATATTTTTGCGAGTAATATGTTTGGCATTGTTTGTTCCAGTGGTTCTATTTGTTTTGAAAATGAAGGCACTATTTCTTCTTCTTGTTGGTGCCCTAAGCATTACTCACATGTTTCTTCATGTGGCTGTGCATGTAGTTATACCTGAAAAACAATTAGCAGCTAATATACTCCGAGTGTATATGACCTATTGTATTATTTTTTCTGGATTCTTACTTAATCTGAAGTCCATGCCTCCCTTTGTTGGGATGATAAGTTTATTGAGATGGGTTTACGGAGCTGCCTTGGCACAAAGTTTGCGGAACATGCCATTTAGTTGCGATGGTGCTGGTAACACATCATACTGTTACAGCGGTGACGCTTACTTGGAACTTGAGGGATTTCAGAATGAGTCTACAAAACAATCTTTAGTGGTATTAGGTACAATGTGTGGTATTTTGATATTACTTGTGGGAGTTGCCTTAGCTTGTCGAAGCTAAAAAATGTGTTATACGTCTTAAACAGATTATGTGTCTATACTCAGTATCGATTATTATTATTGTTATTATTTTTTCAGTACGTGAGAAGTTATGACCTAGCATTGGAAGGTCTGAAATCAGATCTTTTATGCAAAAGAGTGAAGGAGAAATAATAAAAAAAAAAAACAAAAAAAAAATGAGTGAAAAGTATAATGAGAGTATGTGTTTTTCTTTTTCATAAGCTAATTATCTGCTTTTTTTTTGTTTTTTTTTTTTCTTGTTGTTGATGTCATCTGTATTTTTAAAGACCAGGGAAACTGAAGGATCACATTGTCTTGATTCTATAGTTATGAAAAGAAATTCAGCTGAGGATGAAGAAGTTGATATTACAGAGATTGGTGCTGCGTACTGTACGAGTACTGTAAATAGAATAGAAACCTCATCTATATCAAGCCAAAAACGAGTACGTTCCCCGCAAATGAGTTCATCATTCACAGGGGAAGTATGTTGTAGCAGTAACGATGATAATGATGTCGACATTGTCGAGCACAGCAACCGACTCTTAGAACTCTTGCGCGTACGGCGACGAGAATGGAATGTTAGAGTTGGCGTTTCAACAGAATCATCGAGTGAATATTACATAAATGAGTTAAGCTTAAAAGAAAGTAATACACAAATTTTAAAGACTTCATCACCTCCCTTAATTCAATTGCCTGTCACAGAAAGATATTTAAAAAAAGTCAACGTTCATCGAAGTGGATGTGAATCAATCAGAGAAGAAGAAAAAGAGCCATCTTATCTTTCATCACCACCTCCAGTGGTTCATAACGTTGCCACACAAACACAAACAACTTCAATTGAAGGCAATAATCAGATGATAGATACTAATATGGCACCAGCGGATTTATTAATGCTTCGATTGTGTGAGTTAGATGCTTTGCTTCATATATTTTTTTCTTGAGGTGCTTTCACAGCTACCAGTGATAAATTGTTTTAAGTTTCTAATTGCTTGTGGAATAATTTGTTTCAGAATAAATTTCTTCTCATTTTGATTATTTATTATTATTATTATTATTATTATTATTATTATTATTATTATTATTATTATTATTGTTATTACTACTATGTTTTCCTTTTAATGTTACTCTCAGTTACACTCCCAAGATAAAATTTCACTGTTTTCTTTCCATTTCTTTATGTATATATGTACATATATGAAAGACATCAAGAGCCTATTACTCTTGTATTCAGAAACGTATAAACGCATAAGTAGATACGTGGTTCTATTATATACAAAAAAGGAAATATGACCACACTTACTTTAAAGCATTACTCCCATGATGAATCCGCTAAACTGTTTCATCTTGCCACATCACAAGGGTATTTTGATCAACGTTCACCTACTTTGAATACAGGGGATCCCACAAAAAAGATGGAGGAAATTCGCAACTATGTACACAACACTATGAGCCTATATGAGAAAGTTTTTGAATGTGTGGCTACAGAGGAAGCTTTTTTCGTTAAACCCATTCACAAACTTCGTCATCCATTAATTTTTTATTATGGACATACTGCTTGTTTTTATATAAACAAGTTATGCGCAGCTGGAATTTCAAAACGAATAGATCCAAGATTGGAAGAAATGTTTGCTGTGGGTGTTGATGAAATGAGTTGGGATGATCTGAACGAAGAACATTACGACTGGCCTTCTGTAAATCAAGTGACAGAGTACCGACGGGCTGTACGTAAACATCTTGATGAAATGTTAACAAGCGGAGAGTACAAGTTAAAATTACCTTTAACTTTTGAAAACAGTACTGCTGATTTGGATAACTCATTCTGGTGGGTAATGCTAATGGGTGCTGAACACGAGCGTATTCATATTGAAACTGCATCTGTTCACGTGCGTGAGCTTCCAATAAAGTATGTCAAACCCTCCATGGCTCTTTTCTGGAAACGTTGTGAAGAAGTTAACCCCAGTGCCCCAATAAATGAATTAATTGAAGTTGTTGGAGGTAAGGTACATTTGGGACGTCGACCAGATTCTGAATTATATGGGTGGGACTGTGATTACTCAAACGGCAATTACGTTATTGATGTTCCTTCTTTTAAGGCAAGTAAATATTTGGTTTCTAACGCAGAATTTTTTGCCTTTATGAAAGCTGATGGATACAATACACAACGTTATTGGGATGAAGAAGGTTGGAAATGGGTACAATGGAAGAAACCACTACATCCTTGGTTTTGGGTAATTGATGAATCTCGTCCTGACGGTTATGCCCTTCGCTTACAAACAGAATTAATTGACTTACCTTGGAATTGGCCTTGTGAGCTAAATAATCTTGAGGCTCATGCTTTCTGCAAATTCAAAGGTGAACAAATGGGAAAAAATATTCGTATGTTAACTGAAGCAGAATGGTTACTTCTTTGGGATCGTTATGTGGGAAAAGATCAGCCGGCATGGAATGTCGCACCAGGTAACCTTAATCTTGAACACTACAAGAGTTCTTGTCCTGTAAATAAATTTCATCATGGACCATTCTTTGATATTGTGGGTAACGTTTGGCAACATTGTGAGACTCGTGTTTATCCCTATCCTGGATACAATGTTCATCCATTTTATGATGATTTTTCTATGCCAACTTTTGATGGTCGTCATGCATGCATGAAGGGAGGAACTTGGATAAGCACTGGAAATGAAGCCACTCGTGATGCTCGTTTTGCATTTCTACGTCATTTTTTTCAATATATTGGTTTACGCTATGTAGAGGGAGAACCAGTAAATGAAATGCAACACTGCCAAAGTGTTTTGGGACTTGATCCAGAAGTGGATGTTCTCACAGATGCAAACTTCCGTGAGTCATTCAAGGGTATTCCTAATGGTTGTGTTAAGATTGCCGAATATGTAATGAAACAATTTAAAACTTATGCCAAGACTGAACCAAAACGTGCACTTGACTTTGCTTGTGGTGCTGGTCGAATTTCTTTTGAGCTGACCAAACTATTTGATGATGTTCTTGGATCTGATTTTACAGCCAGACGGCTTATGCCTGCATACGCTATAAAAGAACGAGGTAAGTGCACATACAGTGTGTTCGATCCCTCTAAACATGAACGTGTGGCATGTGAAATTCAGTCTTCCAATTACTCTTGGGACAACACACGTGAGAATGCCCGGTTTTTTCAAGCCGATCCCACGAACCTTCACGCTCACATGAAGGACTTTTCTTTGATCCTCTGCTGGAACACATTGGAAAAAAGTTATAATCCTACTGCCATTCCACCACATTTGTTGGGACGGCTAAACAAGGGAGGTCTTCTTGTCATTGGCAGTCGCTTCGCGTTGAGTGATCTCAACACGTCCGAAGAAAAGCCAAAAGACGAAGATTCTCCACAGTATGAGGGACTGACAGAAGAGGAATTATTCAATTTGTTGGGCGCCGAAGTGACTGTGGAACGTGTTGGGGAGCCACTGAAAGTGAAAGTGGTATTCCTAGAGTTGGATGGTGTGGCAAAGTTGAAGAGTGTGCAACTTGTAACGTACAGAAAGAAATGAGCAAAAATCTTCCCACTGATGTTTTTTTCTTCTTTTTTTTTCTATGTAGGGAAAGGAGAGGGATTATCTTTTCTTTTTTTTTTTTTTTTCGTTCAGCGGGTGACATCGCGTGTGTATTTATTTCTGAAACTTTTTTTTTTATTTATGTCTATGTCAGGATTTGTGAAAATTCTTTGTATGAGGGATGAACTACATTGTGTATGGTGTTAGGAATCTCAAAAGGATAAAACGAACGAACAAACGAACAACGACAGCCTTTTCTAGAAAAGGGCTAGAAGCATTGCGAGTGAATTATTGTTGACGCGTGTGTCTTTTTTTTCCATAAATCCTGCTCTCGAAGAACAAGACAGGAGAAAAAAAAAAAAAGAACAAAGAGTGAAAAAAAGAAAACTTTTTTTTTTTGACAAGTGCTTTTTTTTTCTTTTCTCCTTTTAGTAACCATTATCTCCCCATAAAACAAGGAAAGGGGGAAAAGAATAAGAAAGACCGAAGGTCGGAACTATTGTGAGCTCTCAAGGCCACCCTGGTTTCATTCCTCTCAACTTGATTATTGTCTTTGGTACTAGGAATGATGACTGCAAAGAGAAAACAAACCTTACTATCATGTTTTTTTTTTTTTTTTGCGCTGTATGTCACGCGAATTTCCATTTTTTCTTTATTTGCTTTCTCAATGCAGGTTTCCCTTTTTATGCTCATTCTTCACTGGGATATCCAAAAAGTTTTATTTGTTGAAATGAGGGGATGTGAGATCACCTATCCTACCGCTTCTTTTCTCTTTTTTTGTGAAAAAAAGCATACTTGTTATATATACACCTTTTCTTCTTTTTCTCTCTCTCTAAATTTCCTTCTGGGTAAGTTTTTATTTTATTTTTTTAATTTTTACCCCCTCTTGACAGGATCCTCTTTTCCTTGTCTTCATATTCCTTAGGGCAACACGCACGGAATAGAAGGGGAGGAAAGGCAAAAAAAAAAAGAAGTATTAACTATTCATTATCTGATTAGGACCCTTGGTTTATCTCTTCACTGCCCGTGTTTGGCTGTTCCTTTTGCGTAAGTCACCGCTTCCTTTGTGCCCCTGCTGGTGTAACTGGTTGATGCGCCGTGGGATATGCCAAGTGGCTGCGGCTGCGAGGGCTGTAGGCTTCAGCGGCTGCCCTTCTCTACGGCACAGCACCACACCGGTAACCACTTCTACTTCTACGCCTACTCCCAGCACTCCCAGCACTCCTGGCACTTCTAGTACTTCTAGTACTGTGAGGAGTCGAGCTGCAGTTGGGAGTGGCAGCGGCGTGCCGCCCCCCCGGCCCCCGTCGTACACCCCGCCAGAGGAGAGGCCGGCTGGTGACGCCTCCCTGCAGTTCCGGCGGTCCCCCTCTTCTTCTTCTTCCTCGTTGCCTTCATCATCATCATCATCATCATCTGTTTTTAATTCTAGTGAGGCTGCGGGAGTGCGACTTGGGCCCGGGCAGGCGTTTGCCCCGGAGCTGCCCAGACGTCCTGTTCCGTCGAAGCGCTATGTGGACGAGGCGGCGGCTAATTTGGAAACCACAAGTGTGTTCGCCGGACACTCTCTCTTACCAGACGAGGATGAGGCTATGACGTCTAATCTCGCGACTCTAAGGAACTCAACTCAGAAGATAAAAAAAGGAGATGATTCTAAGGAAGCACCTTTTATACAGGCAAGACGTAGGAGTTCTATATTTGATTCCGAGGATCAAGTTAATAGCATAGAAGAGGATAGAAAAGTAGAAAAAGAGAGCATTCCTTCTGTGGCTACTCTTTCTGGAGAGAAAGGGAATGATGCTACAGATGAAAAATCAAAACGAGAAAATGAACCTACTCTCCAGCAAATGGAGCGAGACCTTCGTCGTCTCGAGTATTATCAAGGGTCTCCACAGTATCCTCAACTTTTACAAGAATTTCGTGATAAATATGGAGTTAATAACAATGAAGACGTTTCAAAAAGCGATAAATTTGGTGATCGCTTGTATACTCAAGAAGAACTTTCTCGTGGACTTGAAGCACAACCTATTGATTATCTTCGTACTACTAAAAAACTAAAGGTGGAACTTTCTAGTGGACCAAGAGCTTACGACCCTGTTGTTGTTATGCAGCAACATGGTGTAATGCAATTTCAAGGTTACGCTTTCCCTCCAACTATAGAGTTAGGAAAATTGCGTGATAGTGATGGAAATGTGGTAGACACAATTGAGGATAAAAAACTTCTTAAAGAACACATAAGACAAAATATGTCCTCTGATCTCAAAAAACGACTTGATGGGGGTAAAGACAATCATATAGTTCACCGAGTGTTAGGTCTAGATGCAATACAAAGACGCCAGGTTAGGGCTATGCTTAGTGATTTTGATTATGCAGATCGTCATACAGCATTCCATGTAATGATGTCTTACCCCTATACAGACTGGTTGCACGTATTTTACATGGTAATGGTTGGTCTGGCACTATATAATTTTCAGGTGCGTTATGGAGCATACGAATTCTATGATGAATATTTAGGACTAGATCTCCGGCAGGTGCCTACATTAAAAAAACCTTTTCTGGCAGTAATGACCACTCTTGTGATGGTCGTTTTTTTATTCAAACCATTGCTTATAGCCAGTATTGCAACTACGCGGTTTTACCGTATTGCATTGAGGCGTCCCATTGGACCTCCATGAATATCGTATATATGTGGTTTTTATTTTTTTATTTATTTTTTTTATTTTATTTGTGTCTTTGAATCTTATTTCTAAATGTTACATAGTATCTCTTATGTTATAATATATATATTTTATTTTAAACCTTGTTTGAATAAGGTGAGTGTTTTCTCACGGTCCTTATTATTATTAATATTATTCTTTTTTTTTCGTTTCACTTGTTATACTTTTTTTTTTGTAGGTATCACGCACCAGACCCGCTAGATATTCTTCAAGGGAGAATTCGAGAGGAAAAGAATAGAGAGAGAGAGAGTGCGTGTGTTCCTCTCTGTCTCTGTACCCTTGTTTGTAGGGGTAAAGGACATATATATATATATATTTAGATAGATATATAGATAGTTAGATAGAAGCATCTAAAGTAAATTTATACTGTATCCGGTGAAGGAGATTATTCCCTTCGCCGTATTCTGAAGTAGAGGACAAAAAAAGACAAAACAAAACAGAAAAGAACACAAGAAAAAAAACAAGAAAATACTTTCTCTATCAGGAGGAATAAAAGTCACAACACCATTGTAAGAGTTAAGATGTCTTTACAAAGAGACCTCGTTAAGTCTAGGCGTCGTAGCCCAAACCCAAGAGCATATATGGCTCGGCCTCCTCTTATGCGAAAACCCAATTCAGCTGGTAGTGGAGGACGAAGCTCACCAAGCGGAGAGGCAGTGCATGTAGCAGTGCGGGTGCGACCACCATTTCGTGGGGAAGCTGCACAAGAAATTGTTGTTGCAATGGATCCATCTCACAAAACTGTACACGTTAAGGATAGAATGGATGATCAACAAGTGTTTTCTGTCGATATGCCAGTTTGGTCTTGTGTTGGAAAGGCATTAGATGGTTCTGCCCCAATATCTCAAGCTACTCTTTACGAAATGGTTGGACGACCACTCCTAGATCATGCTTTGGATGGATTCAACAGTACATTAATGGCATATGGTCAAACAGGAAGTGGAAAGACTTACACAATGATGGGCGATATTAGCCTAAATCTTGATGATAACGAAGATGTCCTTAATAATAGTGAGGAAGGTATAATTCCTAGACTTTGTCGAGAAATGTTTCAACAAATTCAAAATCGTTCTTTTACAGCCTCATCAGGTGGAACTATCAGTTGGGAAGTTCACGTTTCTTTTGTGGAAGTATATTGTGAAAAAATCAGTGATTTATTAAATCATGGATCCCCTGTTTCATTACGTGATGAAGTGGTAGATAATGAAACATTTTTTACACTTGTCGGAGCACGCCGTATACAGGTGACAAATACAGCAGATATTCTGAAAGCTCTTAAAATTGGAAATAAGTGTAGAAAAACAGCAGCTACAGCGATGAATGAACGTAGTAGCCGAAGTCATGCTATTTTTATTGTGGAACTTACTGAAATTCTTTCTTTTACAAATCCAGATGGTGATGTAGTAAGTGCACCAAGTAAAAGTCTAAGTATACGTCTTGTTGACTTGGCTGGTAGTGAACGTATTGGTGAAACAGGAACAAGTGGCCAACAATTTAAAGAAGGAGTTGAAATTAATCTTTCTTTATTTACTCTTGGTATGGTGATTGAATCTCTTTCCGATCCCAAACGGCGAAACATTAAACCACCATATCGAGAAAGTACACTGACAAAAATACTAAAAGATGCTTTTGGTGGAAACAGTAAGACAACAATGATATGCACAATTTCCCCAACAGAGGCACAACGTGGACAGACTATTCAGACTTTGCAGTATGGATCAAAGGCGCGACGAGTTGTGAATAAACCTCATGTTGAAGTAGATCCCTCTTCTGTGGCACTTCGTAAAGCTAATGAGGAAATGATGGCCCTTCGTCAGCAGCTTTCAGAAGTGAGAAGAGGAAGTGAAGAATATGCAGAACTACAAGGACAAGTACAAAATATTAAAGAACGACTACGTCAGGAACAAGAAATATCACGTCGACGTAAAGCAAATCTTGAACAGAAGGAAGCAGAACTTGCAGAACATTTTCAAAAGATGGAAGAACAACGTCAAATGTACAATTGTAAAATACAGGAGCTGGGAGCTGAAGTGGAACGTGTCAAAGTAAAACATAAAGAAAAAGAACAAGAACTGCAGAAAACAAAACGCAAGGTAGAATCTGTTGCAGATGAACGTGTAAGGGAGTTGGAAGCTCAACGTGAATTAATGGAAAAAGAATTTAAACGCAAAGGAGATGAAATGTTGCAAAAACAGAGAGAAACTGAAGAACGCTTGCAGAAGTTAGATAATGTCTTTAAAAATCGTGTTGACAAGCTTGTTCAACTGCAAAAGGATCTGGAAAATGTGTTAAAAGAAAAGGAACATGTGGTTCATCAACGTGAACGAGAGCTACAGGAAAGACAACGACACCACGAGGAAAAAGTCCGACTACTACAACAACAAATGGCTGCGAAAGAAAAAGAATGGATGGAAAAACAAAAAGCAGTTGAAGAAGAATGGCGTACTCGAGAAAAGAACTATCGACATCACCTTGAAGAGGCACTAAAAAAGTCACGTCTTATGCATGAAGAGTCAACTAACCGGGAGAATGAATTGCATCGCAAATATTTGGAAGCGCAACGCGCGGCACAACAATTGAAAGAGGGCTCAGAATTGAAAGAACTAGAATTGAAACGACAGATAGAGGAAATTCAACGTGAAGCGCAACAACAGGAACGTGAATTTAATGAAAAATTGTCTCAAGCGGAGCATGATGCTAAAATACAATGTGAGACTTTACAAAGAGAATTGGAAGCCACTTCAGCTAGTACGCTAGGTAAGGAACGAAATATGGAGGTACATTGGGCACTTCTTGAAGAAGGCTTAAAGAAGCGTGAAGAGTCACTGCAGAAACGTGAAGCGGAGGCGAATGCCAGACTTAATGATGCACTACGAATGAAACAGGAATGGGAAAGAGAACAACGTGAAAAAATGGCTGAGGCAGATGCCCGTCAGGAAGAAGCCATTGGAGTTATTCGAAGCAAAGAAATTCTTGTTCAACAACGTGAAAATGAACTAAAAACTTTGGCACAACAATTGGAAGCACAAGCTGCTGCGCAAGAAATAGAGGCAAAACGGAAAGAACATGAACTCAGCTCAAAAATCAGTGAGACGGAACTTCTTTCCTCTCGTGAACGACGCGCTGCACAGCGACTACAGGATGAGCTTCAAAACGCTTTAGACCGACTAAAAACAGAGATGAAACAACGCGAGGAACAATTGGCATCCTGGGAAGAGGAATCTAAAAAACGCTATGCACAACTGGAGAATTCTCTTGCCGAGAGGGAAGCTGTGATTAAACAAAGAGAAGCAGATGTCGAAGCACAGGAGCGTGAATTTCTACAGAGGCGACCAAAGGAAGGAGACTCTAAGTTCGCTAAAGAAATTCAAGAATCTATAGGAGATATCGTGCTAGAGAAGGGCGCACGAAGTGAGACGGCGACAATGTTTGAAGCAGATTTAAAGGCACGTCTCGCTTCGATGAACTGCAATACTGGTGATTTTGTTACCTGTTTGCGAGTTAGCGAAGAGGTTCTCTTGCATCGTGATGTGGGCTTTATGGAGGCAACCGAATCTCAAGAACGGGAGGCTTTAATAAAACATGAGAAACGTTATAGAAATATTATCATGGAACATGTAATTCTGGATAGGCGGAATATGAAACTACAGAAGCGTGAAAATGTGTTAGTTTCTGAAGAGAAAAAGTTTATCAAAGAAAAGATGGCCTTACAGTCTTTTATGCAATTTCTTCTTATTGAGATGGAGCAGCGCTGCCGCATCCTACTTGAATCTTCGCGTAATCGTGAGTATAACCTCATCTACACACTTGAGACTTCCACCCGCCGCCCACGTGGAGTCGATGTGGAGTCGGTGGAGTCCCATGGACTCGAGCGGGAGGTGCAGATGCGTATGGAAGGCCTCTGCGCGGAGGAGGGGCGACTCACGCAGCGGATAGCCGACTTCGCGGCGGAGCGGGCGGCGTGGGGGTTGGAGACCCGACGCCACGACGAGGCACTGCGGGCGTACATCTTTGAGCTCGAGGCCCTCGACCGCGCGGAGGTGCAGCAGCGGGAGGCGGAGGGGCGGGCCGTCTGGACGTATCTCCTCGAGCTCGAGGCGGCCGACATCCAGCGCGGCCAGCGGGAGCGTGGACTCGTGCAGATGGAGAAGGATATCGCCAAGCAGCTGACAGAGACAGAGCGGCAGTTGCAGGAACGCACCGCAGACATTAACAGACGACGCCATGAGGCCTCCGTACTCGCAGAGGAGAATGAACGTACACTACAGGACCAGGAAGATGACCTCGCTGCGCTTGTGGCAAAGAATGAAGAGGTAGAAAAACAAATTAAGTTGCGGGAGACAGAGTTACAGCAACAACGACTCCGTTATGTGGATCTGCGGAAATTGCTGGAAGAGCGAGATGCACTACTGCGGCGCGAACATGCACATCGGATGGATGGTAAAGATAGTGCGACACAACTTACAGATGACCTGTTAGATGTGAATGACCTCCTCAAAAATCAACTACATCTTTGGATGAAGAAATACGAAGTTCTAAAGAGTGATGAAAAGTTAGAGTGCGAACGATGCTCATGGCAAAATAATCGTGATGCCACCGTATGTCGTTGTTGCGGTAATGCACAACTAGTGTAGAGGGTAATAGCTATAGATTTGTTTACTAGAGAAATAATAGCCGTAGAAAACAAAAAACAAAAAAACAAAAAAGATGCATTTGTTCCCCTCTATTCCTCTCTCTTTTTTTTTTCTCTTTTTCTGGGACAAGCGGCATCATGTTTCATATTTCTTTTTTTCTTGCTTTCATAGAAACAGACGTTCGTTATCAGGAGACTCGTCTGTCTATTGTGGCAAACTTTTTTTATTTATAACTTTTTCTTTATACCCCCAACCGATTTCGCGTTGAAGTCCAGTGTGGATGGGTGTAGTTTCTTTACGTCAGTACTGCATGAACTCCAAACGAAGAGAGGGAAACAGAAAGGGTATCCGTGGTAAATCAAAACGGAAAGAAAAAATAGAATGAAGTAGAGTTTAAGAAAATAATATAGAACAGGAGAGTCATGGCTTTTTTTTTTTGATATTTAGACTTGCCCTTTACTGAGTTTTTTTTATTTTATGAGTAGATTTTGATCATATTATTGTTTTTTTTTAACCCTTCTTGACAAGTAGATGGGAAAAGAGTGTTTGTGCTCAAACAACGTTGAGACACTAGTACGCAGCTGCCGTTATTGCTTATTGCAAAACATGGGTGTTTTTTTTTTTATTATTTTCTTTCCTTGCACCCTCTTTTTTTCTCTCTCTCGAAATTAATTTGCTTGTTTATTACCCTGTCATGTATTCTGTTTTGTCTGTATTAAATACACAAACCTTGCTTCTTAACTTTCTTCTTTTAAGGTGAGACGATGAACAGTCGCAAATGGGTGGCCCAAACACTTTCATCCCCTACACCAGTACGTAATGTCACAACTGACGATATCGAGTCAACATCAAGTATGGCCTATAAAGACCTGTTGTTGACACGTGCATATGACGACGGCAATACCTCAGAGACGCACAAGGGTAAGAATATCATGGAAGGAATATCGACAAAGAACGTTCGGGAACACGATAGACGTTGGCAATTAGAAAAAAGTAGATGGCGAAGTGCGAGACAGAGGTCACTGCTTCAGCCTTGGCATCGCCTTGAACAAGACTTTGAACTGGTATCAGCTCAATTACTTAAAGGACGATACCCGAACCAATGTTGTGATGTTCAGGGTCACCACGATGACCAACAAAATCAACATCATATATCGTCTCTTTCAGAAGCAGGACCAACCGTAGCTTCCATGCTGATGGTAGAGAGCAGGCAAAACTCCATCAAGCGACAGCGAAGCCAAACCGGTACCCCGATGGAGGTGAACAGTCCTTCCCAAGAGGTAAATAATGGAGAAAACAGGGAGAGTAGCAAGGATGACTCTGTTTTGAGGCAATCCCCGCCGCCACCACCACCATTACGTCCAGTCTCCTTTGTTTCTCCGCTTTCTCTGAATGGGAAAACAGAACACTCTCTAGATGAGAGTACACCGAAGGAAGAGGAGGAATCTATGCTGTTTCAACCTACTGGCACCAATGGTGGTCCCATGCCATCAGATGTTGCAGGTCTACCGCCTCGTTGTGTCTCTTCTGTCTCACCTGAGGCACTTCAGTCACGCAGCATTAACACCCAGAAAGGAACCGTACGAGGAAAAACTGGGTATGATATCTTATCTACATCAGACGATTTCAGAGCTGTCTCTCCACCTTTGTATATTATTACTCCCCCAAATTCTGCACTTTCAGCTGATGTAACGCCTAATCCTCGTTTTGAGCGTAGTAATGAAAATCGTAAAGAAGCTGAAAATGAAGGAGAGCAGGATAAGAAAAAACAAAAGAGAAGGTTTTCAAGAGAACGTTACCCTGTTCGAACAGGTTTGATGACCCCGTCAGTGGCATGCGTCCTACAAACACCACCATGGAAAACAGTGGAGCAACGTTCACCACTACCAAAGAACCGTATGATTCTCACACCACCTCGTCCATCAATTGCAAATGTGTCAACAGATTTTGAAGTTGTATCATCAGTATCACCTGTTTTTTCGGTTAGAGAGTTGGTTGCACAAAAGTCTCAAGAGTCTTGCCCACCATGTACTCCAGAAAAGGAAAATACTACAGGTGTCAGTTCACCATCGCGCCTAAAAGATTCTATCATCGATACATGGCAAGGATTAAGCGCATATTATAAACGTTCTACAGGACTAAAAACCCCTGTTGTACCTTTATTATTGAAAAAGACTTGAAACCACCTCATGAGTTTTGGTTTAATATTACACTAGATTTTTTTGATGCCTTTGTATCTGACATTGTAAGAGTCTCTGACACATTATACAATTCCTGAAATAATTTTTTTCTTTAATAGAAGCAATAAAAGTAATTTTGAACTGTGAATCCTCCATATGCAAGAAAGTTAAAATTTTTTTTTCTCTTTGGTCTTGTTTTTTTTTTCTTCTTTAGGTACATGAGGTAGGGATTAACAAAAAAAAAAAAAGGAAAGAAAAGAAAATAGAAACAATCAATCAAAAAAAAAAAAACAAACAAACAGAGATACATAGATCTTCTGTTTTTTTTCTTTATCAAATATAGTCCCAAAAATGAAGGCAACGGAGGATACTGCAGTGAAATTTGATCCAAAACCCTTGCAAGTTCCTCAAAGTCGTATTTACGCAGCTGGAGCAGATGATGTCAGTGCTGTGCCTACGAACCGTACTTCACGTCGCATAGATTTCACGGATGATGGCAAGCTTTTTGAAGGTCACTTCACTCTCCACACAAGGAGTCTAAAGAACATGATTCAACTCCTCGTGGACCAGCAGTCAGAACAGCGGGTTATTATAAATGATCTTCAGGATCAGGTGAATACGTTACGACAGCAGGCGACAAAAATGAAAAAAGTGTCAAGGTTATCCCCAGCTCACTCTTCCCGTGATGGTAGTGATGATGTGGGAGTAATTATGAAGGAACTTGAGGATCTCCGACACCGTGTTAAGGTGCTTGATGGTTTTAGGGCTCTTTGGGGTATTCGATCTGAGGAGATTGAGAGTTTGGTAAGTACCTATGGGGATCCCGTGGTAACTCCAGAAGAATATACTGCATGTATTTTAAATTTACAAGCGTTCCGTGTGATGAGGAATGATACACGAAATTCTGTTATTTCCCTTGTTGATTCCCGAACATCTGCTCAGGGACGTCCAATCTCTCCAGAACGGGGCGGGAAAACGCGCCCCACACGTGATCGCACTGTCCGTGAAACTTCTCGTGGTGCTCGTGATGATGACTCTCGGGCACCTCATGATGATGGTATCCCTGCTGATCGTGATGAACCTCGTGGTGCTCGTGAGGTTTCCCGTGAATCTCGTGGAGCTCGTGCTACTCGTGAGGAATCCCGTGCTGAGCGTGATGAATCTCGTGGGGCTCGTGCTGATCGTGATGAATCCCGTGCTGAGCGTGAGGAATCTCGTGGAGCTCGTGCTACTCGTGAAGAATCCCGTGCTGATCGTGATGAACATCATCGTGGAGCTCGTGCTGATCGTGAGGAATATCATCGTGGGGCTCGTGCTGGTCGTGATGATTCTCGTGGGGCTCGTGCTGGTCGTGATGAATCTCGTGGTACTCGTGACCGCCAGGCTCGTGGAGATGATTCTCGTGATGTTCGTGAGGAGGACCCTCGTGAGTCCCATGAGGGCACTACACACGGTGCGGAGTCCACAGGCGAGACTCTTGGGCAGTTGGCGAGCCGCGTGGATGCTCTCGAGCGGAAGATAAGACGAAACAGTTCGGCGGGATATTTTGCGCCTCGACAAGCATCTGCCAGTCCAACGGAAATGGTGGATGAACAGGCACGACAGGACTTGGAGGAGCTCGAGCGATTTGTGGTTCGCCGTTTCAAGGAGTTGGATCGAATGTTGGCCAAGCCCCGTGATAGCTCTCATAGTGGGGCACAGAGAAGCAGCAGTCATTCTCCGGGAAGGACGGAAAGAAGTCATGAGAGAGCTCCTCCGGCGTCGTCAGAGAATACTAGGAGCAGCAATGCCAATATTAAGAACACCAGCGGGAACACTGAAGTAAGTAAGAATAATGACAGTATTAGTGAATTGAAACCGCGAAAAGACCGAAAATCGGCACCTACTACTGGAGGCGCAATGGTGGATCAAATGGCCCGAGACGATGCTGCTACCGCACTGGACCGTCTGGATAGTCTAGAAAGGTTTGTTACTAGAAAGATCAAAGATTTATCAGTTGCAATTGGGAAAGACCTGGGACCTGTTTCTATACGACCCTCTGGGGAGACTGAAGTTCCTGCTCCTGTGGAGCGCAGACCACAAGGATCCATGGTTGATCAGATGGCTCGTGATGACGCTGCCCGCTCTCTTGAAATGATTCAGGAACTCGAAGAAGACTTGGGAAAACGTTGGCAATCACTAGAAGAACGATTGCGAATCATAGGTCGTGTGACTATGGGTAGAGGGTCAGTTGGTCCATCTGCTACTGCATCTTCAATTGATCGAAAAGCCCGTGAGGATGCTTCTATGTCACTTATGAGGATTCAACAACTGGAACGAGAGATTGTCGGTTTCAGAAGACTTCTTCAGAAACATAGGTTACTTGATACTGAAGAAGTAGAAATCAGTGACACACGAGGTACTGGCGGAGGTGCATTTCCCATATCACCAGCACGACTTTTGCGTCAAACAGCACTTTTATCACCTGTAGTCACCACTGATAGGACAGGGGCTCCAGCTGATGCTGATCATGATGCACGTATGCAAATACTTGAACAGGAAGTTGAACAGCGTATGTCTGAAGTTAATCGTGCTCTTGCTACACTCCGATCAGCACAGGGTGATTCAGGGCAAGGTAATATGAGTGGATTGAATAGCGTGGTCAATAATGGTAGTCCATTGATGGCAGGCCAAGTGGTTTTTAACTCTAGTGATACTGAAGCGTCTAGATTTCAGGGTATTGGTATTCCATATTCTTCATCTACAACCTTAGAAGGTGGTGTTCTGATTGTTACCTCTCGTGAATCCCCATCACGAACCCCTGTAAAAGTTATAGAAGGAGCTCAACCTGATATGTTTCAGTTGCGTCCTCCACAGCTAGGAGCATTAGGTGCTCCTTTGGTAACACGAGACATGCAGCAAGGAGGGATGTCAGCTACACCACCTAATGTGCTATCCTTTACAACTGGGACTATGAAGAGTGAGAGTCCAATGGATAACAGAGTGCAAAATAGTGTTAGTGCAGCAGAAGTAGCAATGCCAACGACAGGGGGAACATCTGGTGAAAATGTTCTTTCTGCCTCACGAGAACTTAGTTCAAATTCTTTGACAGCTGATGCTTCGAAAAATGTTCCTGCTGTTGCTGCATCTTCTCTTGAATCTCAAACACTGAGAAATATAAAGTTGTCTATGGGCGAAGATGGACAAGCAATTCGTAGAGATCGCAATGGAGAGCTTAACCAATTGCGATCACACGGCACACGTTTGCGTGGTATTAGTTTGAGTTCTCGTGGAAGGACTGAAAATGGTTTCTCTACAGAGCCAAGTGCGCTGGGACACACTACACCCTGTGTTGTCTACAACTGCGCATGGTGTGCTGCACAAAAGCGAACCATATCAGCAAGGTCACCACGATCTTTACGCTAGTTAAAAAAAAAGAAAACGCAATGGCTAACTCTCCGATGTATAGTTTTAGAGAAGCAACAACGTGTATGAAACCTGGAACAATGTTAAAAAGGGAACCAGCAAAAAACAACAACAAAGAACCTCCTCTTGAAACGAGAGAGGAAAAAAAAATCAAAACAAAAATCACAATCATTTATGTATCTACCCTCTATGTATGTACATATATATATATTAGTTCTGAATGTAGTAGATGGGAAATGATTGAGTATATATATATATATATATATATATATATATATGCTCCTTTCCTAGTTTGAATTCCCTTGATGTGCTTTTTTTTCATTTGTTTCCTTTTGTTTTCTTCTTCTTGGTACTCTTTCTTAATTCAGGAGGTTTTTTTTTCTCTCTTTTGACTTCCCAGCGCTTGTTCTGTTTCATGGAGGTTTTTGAGATCTCTGCGAAAAAACATAAAATGTATTCCTTGTACTTTTATTGTTTTTCTTTTATTTGGCTACATGAGCACCACATCAGCAATACATTAGAAAAACGAGGAAAGAGATTAAAAAAAAAAGACTGAGTAAAAGAGGAACAATGCCTTCCGTTGATGTGCTTTTCTCACTTGTTTCTTTTTGTTTTTTTTTTCTTCTTAGTACCATTTCTTGACTCAGGAGATTTTTTTTTTCTCTTTTGACTTCCCAGCATTTGTTGTGTTTCCTGGGTTTTTTTTTTTTGAGATTTCTGTAAAAAAAAAAAAAAAACATAAAATATATTCCTTTTACTTTGATTGTTATTTTTTTTTCTTTTCTTTGTCTACATTAGCACCACATCAGCAATACATTAGAAGAAAGGGAGAAAGGGATTAAAAAGAAAAAAAAAATAACAACAACTGAGAAAAACAGATATAATGCCTTCCGTTGATGTCGATGTAACTACTATTCCTGATATGATTGAAGCACAATTAACATTGAGTTATAGTCGTCTCGCAAATCTTGTGCGACTAATTGTTGATCAAGGCAACGGCCACGATATAGACATTGATAAACTTACCAACCGTATTGATGCTCTAACAAGAGAAAATGCAGAGCTGAGGAAACTGGTAGAATCTCTTATTTCGGAGAAAAAGAGTGAGGATGCTATTCGAGAAGAGTTGGCGGAGTTACGTCAGGAGCTTTCTCGTGTGTCAGACGCCTCTGCGGAGAACTCCAAAAAGATGTCCAGTGTTGTTGAGATGATCCATCAGCAGAATGATGATCTTGAGCAGCGTGTAAATGAGGAATCAAAAGTGCGTACAAATGAAATGGACCAGGTTCAAACGTCCCTCAGAGAGTTGGAGGAATTTAATGCTGTAACGCGAAATACCATGAAATTATTTGATGAATTTATAGCTTTGTGGGAAGGTAAGGGAGATAAGGTGGAATTACTCACAAAGTGTGGTCCTGATGGTTCGTTTCAACATTCCACAGATGAACGTGTCTCGTATCTACACTCTCTTCCTGTTTTTACAAAGGTATTTGATGAGATGGATGTATTGAGACAAATGATGCGACAACAGGCTTCAGATGCCTTGCTTGCAAAGAATGCAACTCTAAATAAACGTGCAAGTGCTATTGAGTCCATTTCTTCTCCTGCTGCGGGTACTATCGATCGTGAAGCCATTGACGCCTTGCAAGATTCATTTTCTGCACTGGAGAAACGTATCAGAAATTTGGAGACTAGACGTATTCCGGCACTTGAAGAAGCACAACGGCAACAACAACAAGATCAGCAAGAGCAACAACAAATGGATCAGACCGCTTCACGTGTGGATAGAGATGAAATTAAGAAGGTTGATGATAGATTACAACATGTGGAGAATCGTCTTCGTAACTTAACTTTCCAGGCATCTGAAGGATCCACTATTGATAAAGCTGTTCTAATGGATATGGAAATTCGTTTACGGTCATTAGAAGAAACAGTGGAGGGTATCCCGTCTGGGCCTGCTGTGAATAATAATCAACAACAACAACAACAACAAGGACAAAAGGGTGATGCAGATTCTCTTCCTCCCATATTTTCCGTACAAAGGCCTTCCTCTGCCAATTTGCGGCCTTCGCAACTGCGACCACAGTCTGCCTCCACGAGGCGAATCTCTGCCCCACCTACAGATGATGGATCTTCCATAAAGGCAGAAGGGGAACGGGCGGCCACACCGTTAGCTGATACCCGCCCAGCCAGTGGATTAAATGCCGCAGGTGATGAGCGAAACAAACAACGGATGAGTGCGACCGTGGGTTCATTGGGCTCCCGCCACAGTGTGCGCTCCTCTGTTGAGCAGCCTAATGTAGAGGTGTACCGCAAACAGTCTGTGAGTTCGCCAAAGTCAGCTAATTCAGTCCCGCAGGTACAGGTGCTTGAACAGGATGATGGTTTGCGACGTCGTGTTGCGCAGCTGGAGGAGAATTCTGCTATTCTGGAAATGAAAAAAGCCGATCGCAATGAACTTTTAGCACTCGAGGAATCACTTCGACACTATCTGACAAATGCGGGTATTCCTATTTCATCTCACATGGTCCAGGGCATGATGGCACAGTATCCAGGGGCGGCTAATGATGGACGGATGGCGTATGTCACGGAGGCTTCCTATGCAAACAACGCCCCAGGAATGCAGAGAAGCACACCAATAGGACGCCCGATGTTCGTGGGAAGTTCCTCACAGTATTTACGTGATGCCACAGGGAATATGACTTGCGCCACTATTGCTAGTGCTCACGCGCAGTAGATTTTTTTTTTTTTTTTTCTTTTCTTGAAAAGGGGTTTACAAGTTGTACCTCTCACATATATGTACCATAGCTGAAAAGGTAGAAGTACTCATAAAACTCAAAAAAACAAAAACGAAAAAGAAAAGAAGAAACTGAAGAAAAAAAAAAGAAAAAAACGGAGATTATGGAAATTGTTTCCGCAATAACTGCAGTTATAGGGTAATAGAGTTTGTGGAAATGAAGGAACATTACCGTTCTCTGTGTTAACACCATTGCAGTATATGGAGTTCTTTTACTATTTCCTCTTAGAGGAGAGAAAAAGAGAGAAATGATGAAGGGCAAAAGAGACAGTAAGAGTAAGAAGAGAGTTCTTGCTGTGCTGCACTATGCACCACTGACTCTTCTTATGTATCACTTTGACGTTTAGTTTACTTCTGTTTGGAGAAATGATGATGTTTTCTCATTTCCAGAACTTGGGTATTACAGAAGATTATTTTATTTGTTTTTTTTTTTTTTTTTTTTTTTTTTTTTTTTTTTTTTTTTTTTTTTTTTTTTTTTTTTTACAGTCTCGGTTGCTTATTTTTAAAAAAATAAATAATAGGCAGAAGAAGACAAACGAAGAAGAAAATAAAAACGAAAAAGGGGTTGGTGTGGGGTTAGAAAAGCGAGTCCATTTCTATCACGTGATGAAATGTCCTGTGTACATCGCAAGGTGTAGGCAGTGTGGTAACACGCGCCGTACATATAATGACCCCCGACTTCGGCGTAGTGTAATTGAATGTAAAGCTGCTTGTTTCGAGTCTCATTATGAGTGGGATTTTGTCGAAGAGTGCAAGATGGATGACGAAGAAGAAGAAGAACGAAAGAAAAAAGAGGCGATGAAGGGAGATGGTGTCACATCCGAGAACCTTTCTCCCACAGGAGCCCCACCTGCAGTAGAGGAAACTACATCATCGAAGAGAAAGCGAAAAGGATTCAGAAATTGTATTGTAGCATGAAATCCAGTGAGATTGAACATGTTTGTATATAAATATAAATATATTTCTATGTTTGTTCACGTATACATGTTTCTCTGTGTGTGTTTGTGTGTTTGTGTGTTTGTGTGTGTGTGTGTGTGTGTGTGTTTTTTTTCTTTCGCTGCTGTTTTCTTTAGTACCTCCTTTCTGGTCTGTTTCTTCTGGTTGTACAGGAACCTCAGCAATTGTTAGGCACAAAAAACATTCCCCATTCCATTATAAAACAAGGCAAACACACAAAAGAAAAAAAGAAGAAGAAGAAGAACAACAACAACAACAAAAAAAAAAGTGTGTAAGAGCAAAAACAAAAAAAAAAACAAAAAAATAGTAATAATAATTACAAGAGGAGGAAAAAAGAGAGAATGAAAACAATACGCGCCGTCACACTGAAAGCTTTTGGTGGAGCTGATATGTTGCAAATTTCGCGGATTCCCGAAGTTACACTATCGCGTCCAAATGAAGTACTCATCCGAGTGATGGCCGCTGGTGTTAATAGAGGGGATATATCGCAACGACGAGGACACTACCCACCACCGAAAGGCAGCACGGAGATATTGGGACTTGAGGCCTCTGGTGTGGTTTTACAGGTTGGGTCGGATGTGAAGGCGTTTAAGGAAGGTGACCGCGTGATGGCGTTACTTACGGGTGGGGGTTATGCAGAGATGGTCGCTGCGCACGAGGGTTCTGTTATGAAGATACCAGAGGGATATACCTTTGTGGAAGCAGCAGCTATTCCTGAGGCCTTCGCAACGGCCTGGCAAACGCTGAAATTTCTTGGTGATGTACAGAAGGATCAAAAAGTCTTAATACACGCCGGTGCCAGTGGTGTTGGCTCAGTAGCGATGCAAATTGTGGAAAAGTATTTTAAAGCTACAGCTATTGCTACTTGCTCACCAGAGAAGATGGAATTTTGTAAAAGGTTTGCAAGCGTTGTAATTGACAGAACACCAGACGAGGCTGGGTATTGTTTTTCTTCAAAGTTGAGGAATTTGGTGGGAGATGAATGCATCAATCTTGTTATTGATCCTGTGGTGGGTGGCAGATACCTTGAGGAAGACGGTGAGGTGCTGGCACAGGATGGGAGGGTAGTACTTCTCGCATACATGGGTGGAACAAAGGTTTCATTAAATATTATCCCATTTTTCCGTAAGAGAGCCACTGTGTTGTTCACAAAGCTCAGAGATCGAACAGATGAATACAAAGCAGATTTAATAGGGAGTCTTGAAAAGGAGCTTCTCCCATATATTAGGGATCGCGCTATTGTGCCGGTTGTACAGCGTTCTTTTCCACTTGAAGAGGTTGCAGAGGCACACAGTTTTATTGAGAGTAATAAGTCAACTGGAAAGGTGGTATTAACAGTATCAGGGCCGGATAAATAATGATAGCGATCATTTCTTTTTATTACTTTTGTTTGTTATTAAGTAATAGATTTTTTATTTTATTTCATTTTATATTCGGATGTCCTCCTTCTTCCCTTTCCTTATGCCCCTTGATAAAAAAAAACTGACGCTTGCAGCATTTGAATTGGGGAGATGCTATCGTGAAATGTGAATCCCTTCTTTTCAGGAGTGCACATTTATGCTATATGCTTATCGGCAGTATTAGAGGATATTAACATGGCCAAATCCGTTTTTTTCTTTAGTTGTTTAGTTTACTTTATTTTTCTTCTCGCGTTGTTCTATGTCTGTTTTTTTTTTTTTTCATTTGATTTCTCTGTGTGTCTGTGTGCGAACGTATATCTTCTTACTCTACCATTACTTCTCATATTATGTGTATGCTTCAGCTGCACACGACAGACATACACACACACACACACTCACCGCATTTCCCTCTTTATTTTTTTATTTTTTTTATTTATTTACTACATTGTCTCTAATCTTAGGGCTGACGTGGGGTGGACGGCGGTGTGAGTGAGTGAGTCTCTGCAGTTCACCTTCATTTTACAAGGAAGGAGATGTTCTTCTGCGCGCGATGTTGTCTTCGCAGTGCCACACCACGAGGATTGCGATCACATCTGCGACGTCTTCGGGCAGTTAGTCAAGCAGCACAGCGAGAACTGCGTGAACGACGGCAACAACAGCAGAAAGAAGAAAATACTAACAAGACCTTTTCTTCTTCTTCTTCTTCTTCTTCCCCTTCATCATCATCATCATGTGGAGGGGTGCGTGTGGAGTGGCTTCCTCGAAATGATGCCTTGGAGAGCGCCATTGCATTGGCGATTAGTGAAAACCGAGACGCGCGGACGGAGTTGGAATTCACACGTCACTTCCTGCAGGGATCATTTCTTTCATTAGCATCACCTGTGGGTCCGTGGGATCCGTATGACACTAAACCGCAGGTGTTTGCTCTGGGTAAATACATTGCACTTCCTGTATTCACCTCACTAGCGTACTTGCGTCTTTTCTGCAAACAATTCCGTTTTACTGTGCGTGATCCTAGTGGGATTCTTTGGGCTGATGGACCTGCGGATGCTGCGGAGGAAGAGAGGACTGGGGCTCAGCGTTGTAATGCCCCGCCTTTGCCTGATGTTTCTAAGAGCGAGTGGTGGGAACGATATGTGAAACAGCAACAACTCTCCGCCACTCCACTTATAGTAGCCAAGGAACCGGCTTACGAACAGGAGGTGCACATGAAAGAGAATAGTTTCAATAGTGTGAACAATCAGAGTTCAATATTGAATGCAGATGATCTTTTTCAAGAGGTTGAGTTGACACCCCAAGAAAATGTTGATACTTCTAATAAAGAAGAAGGTATTTGTAAAAAGAAAAAGTTAAAAAAGTTAGTGAGACGTACCAAACGGATCAAGAAGGGACTTGCTAAGAAATTCAAGTACAAGATGAAGAATAAGAATAGTAAAATCATCGGCGGCAACAATCGTGGTAGTGGCAAAATAAAAATCAGTAAACGCAATAGCAAAAAGAGAGATTCCCAAGAAGCGAATAAGGAAGAGGTTTCACCTGAAGAAAATGCAGCAAATAATCATAGTGATTTACATGAGGCATTCTGGGCAAAAGTTAGTGCTACGGCTCCATTTCGTATTGCCCAAGCGACTCCACTTCCTGTTTTTGGTCCATTATTACGACCTTTTTTTGTTGGATACTTCGCTGATATTGACACACTTCTTCACAATGCTTCTATCGTTCCTGATAAAGTAGATATCGTACTTAATCCTTGCTCTGCCATTGAGTTTGTTCTCGCACGGGAAGCTACCAATCGTATATTGCAGAAAGATCAATTACTTTTGTTAGCATACCAACGTGTAGAGAAGGAACTACGCGGAGAGTTTCACCGTTTTTTGCACTACTTTGCTCCTGAGGTGGCATGGGCACGGAGTTCATGCGTTCCTTCTCCAGTGCCCGGCAAACCAGATGAGGTGAAGTATGAATTAGTTATTCTTTTGCAGAGTGATGACTTTGGAAAGACATTCTCTAGCCTACGTGCGGCGAAGGCTCGTTGTTTGCTGATGGGCCACGCAGATCTGGACGTATTACCATGGGAAGGGGCGGCCCCTTATGTGAGAGAAGCCTCTACACTATTTTATGAACGTACATCATTGGATGATGGAATTTGCAGAGGAGAGGAAAGGGCTCTTGGCGTTTTTGAGCAGCGTGGACCGGTGGAGACGATTAATGTAGCCCAGTCAGCAGATAGTTTTTATCATGATCCCACCGCAGCTTACACAGAGGGACACGCCGTGTTCACAGAGGAACTAAGACTAAAACGACGTTTGCGTTAAAACGAGAAAAGAATGAGAGGAAGTGCAGGAAAATGTATTTCTGTATTTTCTTCAAATGTGTGTTCCTTTATATGCACATTACAGACATTCAGACAGACTGATAGAGACAGAGTCTATCTCTCTTTGTCTGTCTGTATTTTTTTTATTTTATACATATATTATATTCCTTTGTTGTTTGCTTTCTTAGATGATGATGATGATAGTATGCTGTTTTGTTTACTATTATTATTTTTTCTTTTCTTTTTTTCTTTTTACCTTTCTAATTATCTTATTATTATTTTTTTTTTAAATCATTCATACGTTAGGGTGTAATTTTTGTTGTTGCTGTCAAAAGCAAGGCAAAAACAGGAAAAGTAAAAAAAAAAAAAAAGGAAAAAGAAAAGAAAGATGAATACTCGTGAGGAACCGGAATCAAAATCACCGCGTCTGGGCCAAGATGAGATGAATGATCTTGTGCGTCGACTGTACGACACCCAAATGGAGCGTGCGGCTAAACGAGAGGAGGAGAGACGTCGCGAACTGGAAAGATCACGTTCACCTCAAAAGCAAATTCGGAAGGAAGAAGAAGAAGATCTTGTTCGTCGTATTTACGATCAACAGCTAGAGCGATTCCGGCACAGTAGAGAAGAGCGTGAGCGCCGGATCTATGAGGAAACACACCGCAACGATAAGAAATTGCCAGAGTCCGATATACAAGATCAGGTAGACCGTATCTACACACAGGAGCTTGCGAAGAGCAAAGCACGGCGTGAGGAACTACAGAAACGGTACTTGCCTGAGGCAAAAGTAAAGACAATTGGTAAGAATCAACTAAAGGAAAGTGTGGAGCGTCTTTCTCATGTGGACTATGCAAAGCGGGATGAGGAACTCTTTAAGAAACATGTCTATCCATATGATCCACCAACCACAAAGATCTCACGATCAGAAGTAGAAGCTATGGCGAACCGTCTGTCGACGAAAGGTAATGCATAGAACCCAGAAAGAGAATATATATATATATATATATATATATATATATATATATATTAGAAGGTTTGGGATGATCAAATGTTGATTCTGCTGTGATGTAAAGGATTGCCAAGTAAACTCTTCACTCTTGGGTGCTACAGGTGTGTATGAAAGAAGTTAGCTTCTGTGTTTATGTGTGTTTTCTTGTTTGTTTCTTTGTTTATTTGTGTTTGAAGAAGAAATGGAGAGAGAGAGAAAAAAAAAAAGTTGAGTCGTGTAATTTCGCTTCAGACTATAAACATATCTATGTACATCACTCTCCATACATATATATATATTTTTTATATTTATTTATATATTTACTTATATATATATTTGTGGATATCTATGTGATGTAGATATACGTGAATGTACCCTTCTTAGAGGCACATCAGTGGAAAAAAAAAAAGGAGGAAGAGGAATGGCAAACTGATTTCATCAAAATAACATTGCGTTCCTGTTTCCTTTTTTTTTTGTTTTTTTTGTCATTTTTTTTTTTTTGTTTTCTCAACAAAGATGCATACACGGACTCATATGCATACACAGATACACGTTCATGTACAAAATGGTTGTCATTTGATTTCGTTGTGCTTTTTTTTGTTTGTGGGCTTTCGTTTTCTGTTTTTTTTTTTTTTAATTATCATTTGTTCTTGTTATTTGTTCTTGTTGCTGCTGATAATTTGAGTTTTCTTTCCTCTTCTTTTCTATTGGTTATATATATATATATATATATATATATATATAATTAATTCTTAACAACAATAAAAAAAGGTAGCGGAGAGTAAATAAGATAAAGAGTACTGTACGGCGGGTTAGAGAACCAAAAGGTGGAACTTCCCACAGTTCAGTTGGCTGCTCAGTAGCAACAGGCGGAGTGCGAGTTAGTGGGAAATATCAAACCGGAAGGTGTGTAACTAGAGAGACGAAAAGTAAAAAAAAAAAGAAGGAACGAAAGAAAGAAACAAACGAGAAAAAAGAAAAAGAAAAGAAAAAAATCGAAAGAACAGTAAAGAAGGGAGTAAATGCAGTCAAAGGCAAATTCATCATCTACGTCTAATACACACGTGCTCCTCTCTTCACGACGCAACAGTCGTCGCCCCACATTAGAGGAGGATGAACAGGAAGTTGCTGGTATAGAGATTGATCGGGTTTCCTTTATGAATACCGCACTGCGAGCTCTTCCGGGGAATACACTTCGTACCTTTTTTGCTCCCGTCATGAATGTCAAATCTGTTTTCTTTAGACGTCGTCGACTCACACAATTACACATGACTTCTGACGCTGCAAAGATGGATAAAGTTTTTAAAGAAACCATACGTGTGCTGACCAAAGCCTTGGTAGATGCATCTCTAGAGTTATTTGAAAATCCAATGCCACTGGAGGAAAAAGATCTAGCAACGGCTCTGGCTGGAAAAATGACTCCTGTCTGTTATGAACCCGGTGCAGTTCTTGTCTATCCAGGTGAATACCCAGAGACGATGTTTGTGCATGTGGTGTTGAGTGGTAGTGTACAGGTGGTGAGTTATCAACCACAGAGTCGAAAAGGTGGTATGGGAGATGCCAGTAAAAGACAATATTTTGTTTCCAATGATACACTACGATTAAATGGATCATTAGGGTTTCAACCAGATTTATTTAAGTATGTCACCAATTCCACAGAAGTTACAAGTGATACAACCAGTGATGTGGCTTCTACTTCAAATGTATCTACAGCTATTCAGAGATCACTCCGTCGAGCCTCACGAATGATTGGACAACCAACATTACTTCCAACACGTACAGAGTTGTGTCGAGCACCTTATGTATGTTGTGCAACGGAAGCACTTGGATTAGAACCTTTTCGTCTTGCTACCATTACAGCAGAAGCTACTGCACCTTCAGCCAAAGGAGATGGTGGTTCTAATACACGAATAACTGAAACTATGCGAATTCGAGCTAAAGATTTACATGATGCTCTTATAGAACTTGCTATTGGTAAGAACAAGAAATCTAAAGCTATCTCTTCTGGAAATGTTTCACCACGATATATGCCAATGTTAGTAGAATATATAGCAGCTGCACGTGTAAGATCTGTTTCTCGTCATTATCCATTAAATGAAATCCTTATGCGTCAAAGTTGGTTATTACAAGATACACCAGCACATACCATACGAGCTCTTGTAACTCAATTAACTCCCCGTTCATACTTTCCAGGTGAAGTCATTCTTTGCCCTCATACGCAAAGCCGTCAATTATGTTTTCTTCGTCGTGGTATTATGACAATAGAAGAACCTCCAGCTATAGATAATTCCACTGAAGGACACTGTAAATGTGGAAATTCTAATGAAAAGAGAAACATATTACAAGAAGTTCCTGTAGGGGCTTCTTTTGGAGAACTTTCTGTACTTTTTGGTGAGCCAAGACATTTTGTTCTTCGAGCACAAACAACTTGTGATATTTGGTGTCTTTCTCATCACAGTTTTGCAGCAACAGTAAGAAGAGACGATGCTCTACGAGAAAGTTTACTTTCTAAAGCTGCTGCACTTCGAATGAGATGGTTAGGAGAACAAAGATTTACACCATCATTAGCCCAAAAATTACGTGAATGCTGTGAACTTTTCCGTGATGCAGCTGATAGTTTTATTTATCTTATACAAGAACGAATAGAACCAGTTGTGTACCCTCCTGGAACACTACTTACTTCTACTTCTTCACGTTGTAGTGAAATGTATATTATTCTTCATGGTAGGGTAACATCTATTGTTGATGGTGTAGCAGAGTATGGACCTGGTAGTGTTATTGGTGAATCTACTATTATTTCTCATCGTTGGCCCTTGGGATTGGTCTCAAAGTCTATGGTAGAAGGATGGAAGTTAGATCGTAAAAAACTTCTTGACGCTTTACATCGTATTGAGATATTGCGTCGACACTCCGGTGAAGTTGGGGCACATGCACCGCAGTTAATGCAACATGTCTTTGCCCCGCCTGTTCCTCCGTGTGATGTGGATGCGGTGGGACGTTCACGAATGCCTTTAGTGGGTCCACCGCCACGTGGAGATACGTATTTGGAATTTGCCCAGTGGCTGGCGGAACTACAATTAAAGGCTCTTTGTTTCCGTTACCGTGATTATGTAAAGTGGAATGATATTTCTTACACTACTTTACCTGGAGAACGTAGAAGGCAATTCCTTACGGAACCAGCGAGTTCCGTTGTGGATTTTAACTATACTACCGGAAATGATACTACGGATATGGTAGTGGGTAGTGGTGTGAATGCGGCACGAGAAGGAAAGAAACGTAAAACTGCAAAGAAACAAGAGAAACGTAGAGTTGTCGCAGGTAGTGTATTTCCTTTCTATGTGAACGCAACTATGACACATCAACCCTTTACAAGACCAAGTCTTAGAAAACCACCTACTGTAATAGTAGACGATGATGATAAATCTATTTCGAGGCAACGGGCTTTAACAGCTGGATGGAAAACGCAACCACATGTGAGTTTACTACCTCAACTAAAGCAGTTAACAACACTTATTGAAAACCGAGATAAAATGCAAAAAGTTGAGGCGAAACAAAATGCCGTTAATGATGTACAACAGGAACGAATGGAACTTATTGGTATGTCTCATGACGTCGTAACTAATACGGCTGGTCCCCCACCTGTTCATCTTTTTCTACAGGGTTCTAATCCCCGTGTTCAAATAAGTGTTGCTGAAGCTATTTCTGTAGGATATGTATTACAATTTCCAGATACAAAAAGGATTCAGTCATGTGTCTCTAATATTGACCCAGATGTAACGATTGGATTACCACAACACCGTGAGAGACGACGCGATATGGCCCTTACTCCTAATGAACGCCATTATAGACACTGTTTCCTTTTTGCTGCCTCAAAGTTGGGTGAACATACAGCGGAAGAGGCGATGGTACGGGAAGCTGCTACACGAGAAGCTGAAAGTAAAGGGAAAGCACAACAACTCACCATTCTTCTTCTTGATCATCTTAGTGAAAGACGTCAACACTCTACGGAGTTGGGAGCCATGACATCAGAACCTGGACTTAATGCTTCTACCGATTGGAATAGAATTTCCTTCTTAAAAACACCATCTCGTGAAGCGATAAGCCCAAGGAATCATTCTACTCCTGGAAAACAGAGAAGTTTTCAAGCGAATTCTGTTGTTGGGGATCAAGCATTTCTGCAACAACTTACTGAAAACCCTAATAGAGCGATGGATTCTCTTCGAGCAAAGTTTAATATTCCCCCAGAGAGTGGTCTTGGTCCTAATTTTGCGACCGTGGAAGAAGCCGGGGATGGTAGTTTCAGCCGTTCCGCCTCCGAAGGCACCGCTGGCCACGCGGGGCAGGGCGAGAGTGTGATGGAGCGTCTCCGCCGAGTGACGATGAACTCCGACCTGACGGGAGGAGGCGAAGGCGCTCCCACCGGTCCTCCCCCGCGTGTGCCTGGCAGCCATGCGGATGATAAGGGACCTAATAAATCAGAAGAAGGGGAAACAGTGATGGAGAAGTTTATGAGACGCGAGGATGCGCCGTTATTTATTGATGGATATGGACAACTGGGCATGGAAGGTAGAAATTCCCTCCTGGACGGAGATCTCAGTAGGACGGAAACGGATGGTGGATTGCCAAATGATACCCTTTACACAAGTCATGGTACTTTACCGCCCGAACGCGGGGAAAGACATCACGCATCGCAGTGGGTACCGCACAATTTTGTGATGCCAACAGTGAATGAGGCAACAGCCACCATGCGCCGCATACAACGCGATGTGAACGGCTTAAACGCCGTGGCGGAGGAACAACGACGTGAGAAATTACAGAAACGCCGTCAACGCGGTGATCACACATCGGAGTCCTTTGAAGGTCCAGTCCCGCAGGAACTGCAGCGGGTGGTGGAGGACTGGACTGCCACTTATCGCGCAAACGCACGGGATCCTCTCTGCCCGGCGACCATCCCACCGCAACTGTTGACAGAGGCGGGAACAGACTATCTCGCAGAGGAGTTTCACAACACACGACGATATCAACAACAACTGCAGCGGCAACAACAACAACAACAACAACAACAAGGAGCAGAAGCCGGTTACGGGGCATATGGGGTAGAGATGTGGCGTGGCGAAGTTGAACTGAAAGATAGACGCGACGGAAAAAATCGCGAAATGGGACGCGCACGAATAAGTAGAAATCTTTTGACGGTTGTCGGGTCCAAAAAGTTCGGTGTACCCTCAAAACCGCTACGCAACCCGACGTATGGTATGAGTAAAGAGGAATACCAAGAATGGGTGACGGAGCGTGATGCTATTTTTGCATCCGCATCACGACAAAAATGAGAGACTTGGAATTAGAGACTTTATTATAATTATAATTATAATAATTATTATTGTCTCTTGTTCTTTTTTTATTGTACGATTTAGAAATGATGTATGATACCAAAAAAAAAGAGTGTAACAAAAATAAGCGAGCAATGAAAAACGGGGGAAAAAAAAATAATGATTGTGATGAATTGCACTTTTTTTCTTCTTCTATGTATCAGAAATTACCGAAACTCTGTAATGCTTTATGTACACCTTTTTTCTTTTTTTTTTTTTTCAAGCAGCTTGCATCTGCTTTATGATTCACATTATAGTGTTTCACATATGCAGAAACATGTTTTTTTTTCTTTTTCTTTTCCATTGTTACAATCTTTTTCTATCAAAAAATGTAAGGGGTAGTTCATTCTACATCCTCGTGATATATATATATATATATATATATATATTTTCCTTCACTCTAATATTATAAACTCCCCTTTTCCTCTTCTTCCTTTTCTTTTTCAAAAAAACAAACAAACAACGAAATAAAAAGGTGTGTAACGAACAGTAAAGAGGAATGGATGACTATTCCGAATGGCTGGAAACGACCCTTGGAACGGAGGCCTTTGATAATGACATTGATCAAGGGGCACTACAACAAATGGCAGTACAGCGTCAAGAGCTAGATGCTGTGTTATGTCTGGTTGACTGTCAATTGGATATGTTTCAACCTATAGACATGAAAGAGAAGAAAAACGTAAACAATGAATCTTTGGGTGTCACGAATATTTCTACCTCAGAAAAACAGTTGAATGACTTTACACCTTTTTCAATTGTAGCTGGGGATGGGAGTGTGACAGGAAAAACAGAAACCGAAACATCAGCAGCACCACCTGCAGTAGTAGTACCATCCTCATCCTCATCTCTCATACTAGAGAAAAACTGTAGTGATTCATCTTTGAAAGGGAGTGGCACACGCACACCATTTCAGGATGCTCTTCGTTGTGTACTGAAACTGTATCAGGATAAGATGATTACGAGTTCCAAAGATGTTGTAGGGTTGGTTTTATACAATACAAGAGTAAAAAATAATATTTATGATATTCCTGGAGTATATCTTTTCCATCCCTTTGAACTCCTTGGGATTCACTGTGTACAAGAAGTGGAGGAACTAGTGGCAGCAGGAGAAGTGGATTCTCTAGTGTATGAGGGGTTTGAGAAGAAAGTAGGGCACTCTCAGTATGGAGAGACTAAATTGAGTGATGTCTTGTGGGCTTCTATGCATATGTTTATGAGACTACGCTCTGACATGATAAAATATCGTCGCATTTTTCTCTTTACGAATGACAATGAACCACATCATGGTGATGAGCTTGAGAGAAATCGGTGTTTGGCACGAGTACGAGACTTACATGAGATTGGAGTTTCCCTTGAAGTGTTTGCTATTGGTAAAAGTAATGAAACAAATGTGGTTGGCACTGATTTGTCTCTTGAAAACTCTCTCTGGGGAAAGGAAAAAAGAGAGACTACAAAGAGAGGTGCTGAAGGGTTATTTCCTGGAGAGAAGTTTTGGGATCATCTACGTCACACAATTGCTAATACATCCTCAGCTGTTAGAAATGATAATAATAATGATAATAATAATAATAATAATAATAATAATAATAATAATAATCATCATCAAAAACAACAGTATCAAGAGCCATATGTGGATGTTGTTCATATTGGTAGCGGACCTCAGGCGTTTGACAATTTAATTTCTGCGGTGACACGTCGAACCCACCCACAGCATCCATATCAAAGAACTATTCTCACAATTGGTGTGAGTGTAAACGGATCGTCTGTGCCCACTATGGCAGTAAGCGTCTATCATCCGGTGATGCCTGTCCCACCACAGCGAATGGAATGGCTGGATAGCCGTACAAAAAAGATTGTGAAGCGACAGACACAACTTGTGGTAAAGACATCATCATCATCATCATTATTCTCAGCAGCAGATAAAGATATTAATAATGAAAAAACGGATGAAGTCTCTATTGTGAGTCCTGAAGATCTTCTACAATCTATAGTTTTAGGAGGAAGACGACTTTTTATCTCTCCAGAGGAAAAGGAGCGTGTTATTACCACCACAACAAAAGATGCCACTGTTGGATTTTCAATTCTCTGTTTTAAACATACTGAAGATATATTAAAACACAAACATTCCCTCCAGAAGTCAAGTTTTTTACATCCTAATCTAAACGATGGTGGTGAAGGTTCTCTTCGTCTTTTTGTTCAACTCACTCGTACACTTCTTCAACAGAATAAAGTAGCCGTGGCGCAATACCTTCCCTCTCGTACGTCATCACCTCGACTTGTTGCACTAGTTCCATCACCACCTTCTTCATATTCTTCATTTATCCCTTTTCCTCCTTCTTCTTATTCCCATTCGCATTCTTCTTTGGGATTATCATCTATTCTAAACAGCAGCAGCGAAGGCGGCGGCAGTAGTAGTAGCAATACACCTGCTGAGGGACTTGGCTTGTATGTTGTGCCGTTGCCGTATGCGGAAGATATCCGTAGGGTTCCTACATTACCGTGTTTTGGTGTAGATACAACTCCCAAACCAGAGGAAGTTGATCTCGCTAAACGCATTATCTTATCCTTGTCTGTTTCCTATGATATTCATGCGGTACCAAATCCCTTGCTACAACATCGTCTCCAACTTATGCAGAAGATGGCACTACAACAAACAAAAACAACAATAGCGAAAGAGAGTAACAGCACGAATGAATTGCAAACGGTAAAAGATTTGTCATTACCAGATCGTGAGGGGATGATGCATTATGGACATCTCTTTCAGGAGTTCAATAACACTGTTCTCGGACCTTCATACGATGCGGATAAACTCTGCCAATCATACAAACCAAAAGTTGTTGCAGGTGTGAAGACATCCCGTGCAGGGGAATTAGCCGATGACAGTGGAAATGATGCGATTTCCCGACTGGTGAAAGGGGCGTTTGAGAATAACGCTTTGCAGACATTAACAGTCTTGCAATTAAGATCGTACCTAAATGCTATGGGTGAAAGTACTGATGGAGCGCGACGAAAAGATGACTTGATTCAAGTCGTCACACGAGTAGTGAAGAGTCAGAGTAAATGATTATTTGAAAAAGAGTCATGATGATAAAGAGAAAATAATAATAATAATAATAATAATAATAATAATAATAATAATAATAATAATAGTGAGGGAACTTGTGTCTGTGTGTCTGTGTGTGTGTGTGGAGGGGGTTACATCAGGGTATTTGCAGTATTTCATTTTTTTTTTTCCTTTTTTGCCATTTTGGCAGGGTCTTCAAAAAGGAAAAGAATGAGAAAAAAACAAAAGAAAGTGGTTGGTGAAATTATTGATTTGAAACATCTTATCATCGATTTGCTCTAAGCATTCTTTTGGTTTCTTTACTCCACATTTAAACATTTTTTTTTTTTCTTTTGGTTACTGGCGAAAATAAAGAAAATTCACGGAAGAAACAAGTAGGAGAAGGACGGTTTAAAAATAACAACAACAACAACAACAATAATAATAGTAACCCTATAAAATATACAGAAAAGCAAATAAGGGAGTGAATCAAATATACATAGATGTCACATCCGGCATGTTTACCACCTCGTCCATCCCATACGTTTAGTCTACGGACTGTTGAGAAGTTGTATCAACGACATTTGGAGAATGTTGGGGCGCATGTACGACCAGAACAGATCCCGAGTTTTGTTGAGGGTGTGCGAAGAAATCTTGCACGTATAGAAGAGGTTCTACGGTACCGTCTGCAACGTCCAGCTCCTGTACCAAACGGAGAAAGAGAATATCCACTTTTATCAAAGTTTGAACGTCTACGTGTTAGTCACATTTTGGCTGATGTTGTCCTTGACATCGCCACTATATCTATAGTAAGCAGCAGTGAAACGTATGACGCTGTGGTAAATACCAATACTGCCGTTTCTCTTGCGATTCCCCGCGTGGGTGCAACACCTTTGCTCTTTTGCGATACGGAAGAAACTCCATGTTTTCACCCGTGTGAACACTCCAGCGGGGCGGGTGGAACTGTGGAATCGGCACCACTTGCTGCAGTGGGAGATGTGTCACTTACGGCTTCTCTAAAGAATGCAATAGGCCACTCATCAATGACAGAGATGAGGCAAAACTCTGGTGAACAACAACAAGTGGAAGATCGAGGTCGGCAACGAGAGGAAACAACATTTGTTACTGCAACTTCAAATACAACAAGAACAACAACAACGGCACTGTCACTATCGAAATGTAATAATAATAATACTAATACTAATAATAGTCTGGGTAGTAGCGGTCTCCTTGGTAGTGATGGAGAGAGTGACCCACCAAGCGCAGCAATGAGTCGTCCCAACCATTTTTTAATGGGATACCAGAAAACTATGAGAAGTGCTTCTCCTACTGCAGAGCGTTTACAAGGTGTACCACCAAGTTTACAACAACGTCAAAATACGATGGTAAGTGTAGATAGTTCAGGGAACAGTAGTACTAATAGACGCACATGGATGCATGACTATTCGCATGATACGACAGGGTTTCAATACCCCCTTTCGTACAGTGAATCACCGCTTTCACCAACATCAGTGCGCTTTAAACCAGTACTGTCCATGCATTCTGGAGCAGAGAGTTCAACAACATGTCCGCAACACCCCCGAAAGCCTAGAAAATACTATGACATTGATCTTCAAAAATTAAGTGAGTTTACATATTGTCTTCGAGCAATACAAGAACTTGACTTTACAGAGAGTGATTTTGAGAAAGCAGGTTTACGGTACGCTATTCCTGGTATAAGAGAGTTAGACCCCAGTGAGGCGCAATCATTCAATGATCGAATGGACGAGCGTTACAACTCTTCAAATGACTTATTCAACCCAGGAGGTGAAGAAGAATTTACCGTAAAGAGAACTATCTCACTAACAACGACTGGAGGAGGCACCGAAACAGATGGTAGAAGTGTTTGTCCTTTCCAACGGGAAAATAATTCAAGCCCAAGTACCACTCCACCGCCTATGACAGTAGATATGCCTCTCCAAGAGAGCGAATTACAAAGTGTGACACGTGTATCCACTTCACGATCGCTCACTTCTAACAAACCTACACATGGAACACCACAAAGTGAAACTAGTGCAACCTCGCCCCAACCACCACCAGTACCTGTAAAGGATCATTGTTTGCCACTATTTCGAGGTGGGAGAGATGCTATTGTAAAGAAAAAACATTTCCAGTTGTTTGTAGCCATGGTTCAACATCGACTTAAACAGGTCGATCAAGAAGTCGATGGCCTGCTACATATTTATGGGGCTGATTTAGCCTCTAGCAGTGGAGAAGAAGATACAACGTACACCTCATGACATGTACCTGTTCTGACAAAATTTTGTTTTTTTATACTTATCTTGATTGAAGTTGCTACATGTCTCCTCGACACACTTTCTGTTGTCATTTTCTTTCGTCTCCAGTGCAGTCCTTTTCTTTTTTATCTATCTATTCTTTCCCTTTCCCTTTCCCTTTCCCTTCTTTTATTTTATTTTCTTTTTCACAGGCCTCTTTTCGCTAAAATACAAAATGACTGCTCGTCCATCCGTGAGCGTGTACTCTGCAGCTGAGGACAAGGTGGTGGGCACCTGCCCACTCCCCGCCGTGTTCACGGCCCCCATTCG